AAAAAAAAAAAATAATAATAATAATAAGCTGCCTATTTTACTGTTTATATAAAAAATAATAATAAATAAATAAATAAAAAGTTGAGCCAGCTCGGGTTGCTAAGGCTAGAGCCAAAAGCTCGGGTCAAGTCTAATTTTTTTGGGCGAGGTTTTGCTCAACTCGAGCCAAAAAAAGTTTGAACCATTTTTACTAGAGCCGAGCCCGAGTTTCGAAGTTTTGCTCGTGACACCCCTAAGAGGGGATGAAGGTGTCCTGGAATATGTAAAAACAATATTAGCTTCTGTTTGATGGCTTTTAATTTGAAAAAATTATGTTTTGAATATTATTTTTGGTGAACGTGCGGTTAAAAAGTATGAAAAAATTTTAGATTTATATATAAAATATTTTATTGTGTGAATATATGGTTAAAAATAAGTATGAGAAATAAATTAAAAGAAAGTAAATTAATATTCACTAGAATAAAGTGTTTGTTCAATTTCAGTGCACACGATGATTCGCTATCTTTTTTTTAACTAAGCATTCTAGAATATCAAACTATCTTGTTAAAAAAGGATTATCATTTCCATGTGTATAGTTTAAAGTATAGTAATTTTTAATTTCATTTTTATTAATATTATAGAGGTATACAATTTATGTTATAGAATAAGTAATTTGGTAATTGCTTGTTTGACACCCTTGTTTGAGCTCCATTAAAATCAAATTTTAGGGAAAATGTATTTTGAAATAATAATTTTTTTTGAAGGATGTGTGGTTAAAAATGAAGGAAAATTTTTGAACTTATGTGAAATATTATTTTATTGAAAAACATGTGGTTGAAAAGAAGTGAGAGAGAATTCATTAAAATTTTAATGGAGCTCAAACAAGGACAGCTAAAATTTTATCAACTTTGTCGAACTTTAAGTTTAATCATACATTTAATGGAATCTACAGCCTTTATTATTTTTTCAATAGTATATTTTATCAACTTAATTCTATCAAAATCTATTTAAACTTTTATAAAAAGGGAAAATTACCTCAAACCTACATTTAAAGTTTCAAATTCAAAAATCAGATATTATTTTTTTTTTTTCGATAATCAGATTTTAATCATTCTATTATCATACCCTCCTCATATATTAGCTTATGTTTATATAATGCCTTGTTTGAGCTCCACTCTTGTAAAAAAATTTTTACGTAAAAACTTTAGTTTATTGATGAAAAAAATTTGCGGTGAAAAAGTAATAAAAAGTTTTTAGTTTGCGTGTAATATTATTTTTATTGAAAAATATGTGGTTGACGGTCATGATAGTTTGGTGTTGACGGTCATGATAGTGGTGCAGGTGGCAATGGTGTAATACACCTAGCTAGTAGTGATGGTGGTACATTGGAAGAGGAAGTGGTGGGAGTTTCTTGTTCAATCTATCGACTACCTTGATGTTTTGGGTTGTGGTGGTGATGGGTTATGGTGATGGTCAGCAGCGTGTGCGAATTTTTTTGTAGTGACCATATGTGATGAAGTCTGTATTAATTGATCCGTGTTAATTGTGATCAATTGTGACTGTATGTGAGCAAATTAACAGTGATTTGATTACATACCCTCACACTTAAAATTAACTCGATCATAGACAGTTATAATGAAGACAAACTTGCTAACCGCCACCACGCAGTATCCAAAACGTTTCTACTACCTCACCACCACTACCACATAGATCACCTCCAATGCACCATCATCACCTACAGTGCACGATTACCACCATCACGTAGATCCATTTCCTAAACACAATTGCCACCTCATCGTCGAGGTTGCCACCATCACCACCACGCAAGTCAAGTCTGACGCTCCAACAACACCTACAACGCATCGCCATCACCAAAGCACCACCACCTCTTTATAAGGGATCTCAATATGGTATCTTGTCATTCTGTGTTTGTAGAGAGAGAGAGAGAGAATTTGTATTTGTAAGAGAAAAAAAAAATTGTAATTGGAGAGTGTGTGTTGTGGCAAAAAAAAACAAATATATCTTTGTAATTGGGGTGGGGTAAATAATATGGCTGAGGAAATTATCTTGTGATTATACATTAATATATTGGAATTATCACCTGATTTGTGAAAGTATTTTATAAAATTGTTAGTTGTGAAATGTGATTGTTATAGTCTTCTAGTTGTGTATTTTTCTCCTTAAAAGTATTACACCATTGATCGTAAAATATCGATTACTTGTTGACCCCTGTGAATTGCGTGAAAATAGGATACTCCAAATTTGGGGGTCAAAGAGTTTTAGAAAACGTTTTTGGTGGAAAAAAATGTGAATGAAAGATCCCATTAAGCTTAGCTCTGCATGATCTCCGTTGGAAGAATAATAGTGGTAATATATTGTCTTTGATAGCATAGTTACATCACTGATGGTTTTTCTGAAACAACACGACCGGTGTTCAAAAGTCACTTCCTCGTATTAGAGAATGTTGTATTGGCTAAAAGAAGGAATTTTGATGCAGGTGCTTGAGATTTCTCAACTTGGTAAAACAAGAATTCTATCTTGTGAAGAACAAGCTGGAAACTTTGTTAAGGGTAAGTGTTACTTTATGGTGTACTTCTACATAAGCGAATTTAACAAATAAATAGGAATTTCGTTCAATAATCTTCTCATAATGAAGCCTCTTCCACACAAAATTAATATGTATAGAAAAGGAGTCTTCTTGCCTATGCACAACTTTAATCCCAGTGAGAAAATAATGGAGGTACACAAGCTTACGTAGGTTAAACTGTTACAAGTCTCGATTAACTTCTTATAAAATAAGCTGTCTTTGTTTATTCAAATCCTAATAAAAGTCGAGGAGTCGTCTTGTCAACTTAAATTTAGATGCGGCTCAAACAATTTGGGCGCATTTTCAAGGTTTTCCCTGTTTGTCTAATCAAGTTCTTATAGCATTGAAAAGACATAAATACAAATGTGTTTGCTTTTCCATTTTCTTTATCTATCCGTTTCCTTTAAACAACTTTACATTAAGTAGATTTAGCGCCTGTTTGATAAGGCTTTTGAAAAGTCAAAAGTTTCATTTTGAACGTATTTGGATAATTTTCTAGAGGTGCTTGTGTGGCTAGAAAACTTTTTGAGAAAGTTGATCTGAGATAGCTTCTTCAAAAAGCTATTCTACAAGAAGCAAAAGATTTACTCTTTTGACGAAGCATGTTTTTGAATATGTCTTTCGTACTTCTGAACTTCCCTGTGTTAAATGCAGCTGGAGCAGCAAATCTTGCAAGCCGGAGGGATGGTTCCCCCGCTAGAATAAGTGCCGTTGATATTACGCCCTTCTTTGGAAACAATATGGCCAAGGCCAACAACTTCGGGCTCTTTTTTTCTTGTTGTTTAGCTGCTTTGACTGCTATATTCCGTTATATGTAGTGAAAATTGCACATATGGAATATCGGAAGGATTGGTAAAGTCGGATGTGTTGCCTTTGGTTTTCTCTCCGATCTCTACGCATTTCATTGTTTGCTTACAAATCACTAGTGCTATTTGTGTCGAATTTAATTTCATTTGTAGACAATTTTACCCCTTCAAAGTGAAGCTAATTCTCTTTACATCCCTCTCACCTTACACTTTCAGCATGTGCAAGTCAACCTTCCAATTGTACCTTATTAATTGTGAAAGAGACCATATCATGTGGTTGTTTATCTTCTACTACCTAAACAGATAAGAGAATATAAAGTAAAAAAGTAAATGACAAATTTGCAAAGAAAGTAAACGCAAAGAAAAAAAAATGTGATTCTATGAGATTTTCTTCTCTTTTTATTTCAAGAATGGGCAATTTTTGGTACAAACTTCTAAAAGATGTTTTGATTTGTCATTTTCTTGAACTTTAACTACAAAAAAAAAATGTTCTTTCCAAAGTACAAAATTTCTATCAAATGAAAGTAAATTTACGATGATTTCAATTTCAATACATTTTTTTTTTTAAAATCATTGTTGGTTGCGTGGATTAGTAATGAGTATACTCTTGTACCAATTTTATCTCGAACGCATGGTGTGCATTTAAGTAGGTTTTTGCCCTATTTTTTATGTGACTTCATCTAAATTTCATCACAAATGAGGTGAGCTTCGCTAACCACGTCAATGTCTCTATGGTTTTTCATCTTCTTCTCTCCTAAAATTAGAATGAAACGACTTTGAGTATTCAGTATTCAACGTAAACATCACACAATTCATGTGAGGTTTTCTAGGTTAGAGACGAGATCATTTGCCAGTCCCATGATAACAAAATATATAATAAACTAAATTAGTCGATAGTCTAACAATTCTTTTATTACATTAATTGTAAATTTGTTATATATATGAGCAAGATTCCTGTTGACATTTTCTTTTTGAATATTCTTAGTATTTTCACATCCACTTTTTCTATGCAGTGCCTAAAGTCCCTGCAGAGTTTTTCATTTTATGGGCTTTTGCAGCTACTTTAAATTACTTTTTATCATTTTCCCTTTTATTTTTGTTTGTATTTACTTTTCAGAAAATAAATTGACCTTTAAAAATTTCAGAAATTTGGCCAATAATGTATTTTCTCTTTTTTATCATATGTCAGACTCGAATAATGTGATTACTTACAACTTATATAGATACGATTATAAGATAAACTATACTCGAAAATATCGAATAGTGAAAATGTAACTAGATACTAACCAAAGATATGCCTCTTGCAACAATTTTTTGAAGATAAAAATTTTTAGAATAGTGATTGATGGGAGAATATGTGATGAAAAAGTTTTAGATTTGTGCGCAATATTATGTTATTGGAAAAATATGTGGTTGAAATGAAGAAAGAGAAAAAAATGAGAATGAAATAGAGAATGGACATCCTGAAAATTAGTCTAAAAAAATCTAGAAGAAACATCTCTGATACCTAATGTTTTACTCAATTTCAACAACAATAACTACTCAGAGAGTCAATGTAACAGGTCGATGTCATAACACATCTTTTCTTATTTCGAATTTATTAAAAAAAAAAACCCATCTTTGGAAATGGCTCCAAAGGTTGTTGGGGTTGGTGCAATAAAACACACATCCCCGTGCAATTACTCCATCTATAGGACCATTTGAGGGGTGTTCCTATAGTATTCATATCAATTCCCATGGGAGTTATCATATCTACGCAACCCAAATACTAAAAGCAATATGATTACTCCAATTTGGACATGGATTAAAACATAGTAATTCATAGAAATTATTTGGAAAAATTAAATATAACTTCAAACTTCTTAATCCAAATTCATTGATTGCTATAGGGCTAAGAAGAGGTCAAGGGTAGGAAAAAAAAGCAATCAAAAACTAATCCGAGATTGTCTTGATTGGTCTATCGTATATAAGATCATAGTTGCATTTAGAAATGACTTTTTCTCTGACTCTCAATTGAATAAGAGAAGACGACGAAGAAAGATTTCAATTGAGAGTAGTACGCCTTCGAGGCTCAATCATAGTCAAAATTGGACTTTTGACTCTTTACGATAGGAAGGTAAGCTATATGGTTAGCTCCCGTTTGGTCCCGATTATTTCTCATTAAATTATATTTTCTTGTTTTTTTTTTTATCAACCATATATTCTCTAATAAAATAACGTAAACTCAGAAACTTTTTCTTCTTTTTTAACCACATATCCCAATTAGACTTCAATTCAATCTTCCTATTCTTTTTTAAAGTTTTGAAATGTTTGAACCGGTACTTAAGACATTGATAATTAAAGACAAAAAGTATGGTTATTAGATACAATAATATAGGAGAATGTAGTTGATGTGACCATCATTGTACATTCTAACGTACCTAATTTTGAATTTTTGCATCATTAACTATGAGCAACCCCAACAAACCTTGTAACGTTGCTGTTGGTTCTTACTGGCAAGAATATTTTCCCCAATAACTAAAAGTAGAAGAAACTCAAAAGATAAAAACAAAGTGAAAATTCTTGAACTGCCTCAAATCTCAACTAAGCTTGGAAGCAAGCTAGTCGATGGATCGAATATTTTTAGATATTTTTCATACCTAGCCTCTGTTTGATCCACATTATTTTTTCATTCTCATTCTTCTACTCTTTTTCAACCACACATTCTTCAATAAAATAATATTTTACATCACATCAATAACTTTTCCTTTTTTTCAACCACATATTTCCCATCACATCATTTCAAAAAAATGCATTATCTCATTTTAATGTGTACAAAACGGGCTCTAAAAATAAATAACGAGTCTCAATTAAACGAATGTTATTTTAAAAAAACTGTTTGAGCCATATTATTTTTTCATTCTCATTCTTCTACTCATTTTCAACCACACATTTTTCAATAAAATAATATTTTTCATCACATCGATAACTTTTCCTTCTTTTTCAACCACATATTTCCCATCACATCATTTCAAAAAAATGCATTATCTCATTTTAATGTGCACCAAACGGGCTCCTATTGTCCATATTAAATAGCAATAAAAAAGTTATATCATGACCGTTTTTCGATGAGAGAAAGAAGTAATGAATCGTCTTTTCGACTTTATCAATTAAACAACTTGCAGTCGTGGTCAAATTGCTTTATGGGGGCCATATCGTACACGTTTTTTATTTGTGTCAAGGATACCGTCCTACCTATTCCTACGAGATTTTATAAGCAATTGCCACTGCTTAGGGACTGAAATATGAGTGACCTATCAATGATCAAAATGAAACTTGGATGAAATTGGATGGATGTTCGAAATAGTTTGCTTTAAAAATTCAACGGATGAGTTGTAAATCGATAAACGTTAGAAAATAAGTGAATGAATTGTGGCCAAAAGTGAAATACCATTCGAATCTAAAACTAACTAGGTTCTCTTCGAAAGCGTATTATTTAACTATACTCGATACAAATGTGAGTAAAAGCTTGGAGGTCAAGTCACGGACACCAAAGGTTGATCGGACCACCAACCGTCGCTGTTCCGTCCCAACCCACCTCTCTCTCTTCCCTTTTTATGTGGCATCAAAATATTAGATGTGAGATTTAGAGCACGTTTGATCTCCATTAATTTTAAAATACATTTTTTTCTTTTTTAAAAAAATTACACATTTTTCAATAAAATAATATTACAGATAAATTGATTTTTTTTATTTTTTAACTACATATTTTTCATCAAATTACTATTTCAAAATGAATGCATTTTAGCAAAAGAACGGGATCAAACATGGCATTAATGCGTCCGCCAAAGGGTCACCCGGCACCTGCACCACCCCAAATCATTTACCTTCCAGTCAAAATTTTAATAATTCGATTAAAAAATAATTATTTATCAAATTTAAGCGGTGGCAACAACCAACCCGTCACGGGGTCCTCGTCTAAACCGCCGAGAAATTCCAAACCTAAGAATCCTCACCCTCTAAAACCTCAGCCTCGTATACTCCACAAAGGCTCGGACTGCCGTTTATATCACCGAACCTCCCCTAATAAACAAACAAAAACCCACATTAATTTTAACAAAAATCAAAACCTAAACCCGTAAATACGTAGAATATCTGTCTCTTCGTACTTGCTGCAGTCATATCGCTCTCGATTATCTCCACCTTCTCCCACAAGCCCCCCTTCAAGAAAATCAATGCAATTTTCTTGATTTTTCGGCTTTTAATTTAATTTAATTTTTTGTTTTGCTTTCATGTGAAGCCATTCTCTCTGCAACTTTTTTGCTGTCTCCATTAAAGCTTTCACGAGCTCATTTTTCCCACCAGAAGTCTGAAGAACACTTTCAGAAATCCTTTATAAATCCCTTCTGATAGGTTTTTTCTTTCTATTATACCTCTACAATGCGGTGTTCAGTAAGGAAAAGGAGAGATTATAAGTTCTTAGTTTTGATTCATTTAATTTTCGTCCTTCTGGAATGCAGTTTTCCGGTGGGCGCAATTTTGGACCCGATTGATTTCTTGGCATTGCAGTCGATCCGGAAGAGTTTGGATGATTTGCCCGGGTCGAATTATTTTGCTTCGTGGGATTTTACTTCGGATCCATGCAATTTTGCTGGTGTGTTCTGTGATGGAGATAAAGTTATCGCTCTGAATCTTGGTGATCCACGGGCCGGGTCTCCGGGCTTAACTGGTCGGATAGACCCGGCGATTGGGAAACTGTCTGCTCTTGCAGAGTTTACTATAGTTCCTGGCCGGATCATTGGGTCTCTACCTCAAACTCTGTCTCAGTTGAAGAACCTCAGGTTTCTTGCTGTCAGCAGGAACTTCATCTCCGGTGATATTCCGGCAACTCTGGGCGAGCTCCGGGGACTACAAACGCTTGATCTTAGCTTTAATCAATTTTCAGGTAGCATTCCGTGGTCTATCGGAACTCTACCAGCGTTATCAAACGTCATTCTTTGTCACAACAAGCTGTCTGGTTCCGTCCCGCCGTTTGTTTCCCGTACCCTAACCCGGCTCGATCTCAAGCACAATGATCTCTCCGGTTCCATTTCCCCACTGGGACTACCCCCATCACTCCAATACCTCTCATTATCATGGAACCGGCTGACAGGGCCAGTGGACCTGCCGCTGACCCGTCTAGACAGGCTGAACTACCTCGACCTCAGCATGAACCAGTTCACCGGCTGCATTCCCGGCAATTTATTCACGTTCCCAGTCACCAACCTTCAACTACAAAGAAACCAGTTTTCCGGCCCAGTTGAACCAGTCGATCAGGTGACAATCCCAACTGTTGATCTCAGCTTCAACCGGTTGTCAGGTGGGATTTCTCCGTTATTCTCTACAGTCCAGAACTTATATCTAAACAATAACCGGTTCACCGGAGAAGTCCCGGGAAGCTTCGTCGACCAGCTATTATCCGCCAGTATACAAATCCTGTATTTACAGCACAATTATTTGACAGGAATCGAGATTAATCCTGCAGCTGCGATTCCACTAAGCAGCTCATTGTGCCTACAGTATAATTGTATGGTGCCGCCTATACAGACGCCATGCCCATTCAAAGCTGGGAAGCAAAAAACAAGGCCTACTGAACAGTGCACACAGTGGAAAGGGTAAGCTGGAGAAGGAAGGGACACATTGGAATTTCATGGTTTTGGGATATTAAAATTAAATTCATTTATTTGTTTTTGCAATGATATGGGTAATTAATTAATCTGATAAAATAAAATAAAATTGTGGATAATCATTGTGAGAGAGAATGTAGCTAAGTTGATTTCATTTTATGGGCTGGCTAAAATATGATTAGCTTTGCTATTTTTTGGTATTTGATTTGTAATTAGGTAACTAATGGTTTATCTATTATTATTTTCATTTCTTATTGTTTTATAATGCTTTCATATTTATTCAATGATCATAATTAAACATGAATATGTAGCTGTGAGACTTTTATTTGCCTCAAGCTTTCGAGGAGCTCATTCAAGACTTACTCGACATATTACTCAATAGAAAATAATTCTATACAAAAGAAGAACCTTATCGGGGCTTGATGTGCCGAAAGTCCTCTTGAAAGAGAGGGATAGGATTTCTTTCGCTTTCGATATTAGTGCACTCCTAACGAGAGGCTGGCAAAAAGTTTGGTTTCAGCTCATCGAAATAGGAATAAGTGGGATATATTTTTGTCCTTCGTGAATCACTCCAAATACAATAACTAGCGAAAAGGAAGTATCTTATAGTTCTGATTTGATCTCATATCCATATTGGATATGAGTTATCTTGTCCACATTTGATGTAAGAGCTTATAATTTTTGACAATTCAAAATAAGCTTGATTGTTGATGTGACGTTATCATGTTACCAGTGAACATGTTTCATCCTACTCTTCATATATAGGAGATGCAGTGCATGTGAGAGCCTCTCGGGCCATAGTTCAGTGGTGCAAAATATAGGAGTGAGGTAGTCTCAGTTGACGCTGGCAGCCGCAGTGTGAGAGTTTGTTTCCTGCCTCTTACAAGGTATGAAATTAGACTCTTTGTGGGCACCAGTGTGACATCTCTTGTACCCTTGCCTGCTAAGGCACATTCCGCGATTTACCTCCTCCACAATGCTCCAGGGACGAGGCTGTAGAGGGTCCTCAAAGTTGGGGTTGAACCTTTTTTTTCTTTTTTTTTCAGTGCACGGGAGATCATTTATGTCCTATAGTAAATTCATAATGTTGCTTTTATTGATCTTCTCAGGTTCGACAATCTTTTAATAATGCTTTATTTATTTGTGTACTATATGTTGTTGTCCATCATATCATTGGTTCTGAGCTTCTTGTTTTACATTTGTATAAATGAATAGTGTTTAGAATAAGAAGACGTTGAGAATTGTCGGCAGTCAGATCCGAATATTTATTTGTTATAAATATTTTCTTATTTTCGATTCTTTTATATTTTTATTATTGCTCTATCTAGTCAAGAATAAAAACCAATTAATGAAGCAAGTAGGACATATTTATTATAAATATTTTTAATAGATTTCAATGAAAATTAATGAAAAGTGTGTTGGAAAATTGATAAAATTTATGATTTTCATCAAATGTGGAATTAAAATTAATTATTAATTTTAACTTAATTTTTGCCAAATCAAACAAGAATTTAATCAATTGGAGGAGTGAGGTGGCCAATTCTTGATCGCTTTGTTTTGTCTTTTACATTTGACAAGGAATCATATGTTAATCAAGAAATCTTGTCGGTCAAAACAGTGACTAAAGCTAGCAATTCATAATATTTTTTAGCGTTTATTCGAGTCTCATTTTTTAGAAAAATATATTTGAAAACAGTATTTTAACCTCGTTTCAATCATACATTTTTCATCAATACACAATTCAAAAATACACTTTTTTTTTACAAAAATGGAGCTCAAACAGGCCCTTAGTATAAATTCCCAAACTCAAGCTTCTTTTGCTTGGTAAACCATTTTTTCCGAAAGATTTTGTGTCGATGCTCGATTTGTACATCTCAATAAGACTTGTAGTCGGGTTTTGTTTCCTTTTTAACTTCTGAAAAGAAAAAAAAAGGAGGAGGAGGTGGAGTCGAGGGTGGGTGCAATGCGACCGACATGCTGAATTGGGATGTCCCGGTTCGATGAATGTAATTATCTGCGGGAGTGCTTAAACTGCTAGTATTGTAAAGTTATGTCTCGTGTTGTCTAGGCAAAGCAATAATAATTTCTTAATTATTGAATTGGAGAGTCAAAAGGAGTTCAAAGATACGATTTGCTTTATGGGAGTTTCTATTTGAATGCCTTAAATCTTATATTAATCGTTAAAAGTCCAAACATGATTATGTAATTTTTTGCAAGCTAAGTCAATATTCTAATCATGGTTATGCTTCATCCCTCTGTAAGCCCGTAGTTTATTTGACAAATTAAAGCTGCTTACTGAAAAATTTCAGAGTGAAATGAAAAGTACCTTGTCATTTTTATATGACTTATCAGCACGTGAAATGCTAATTCGACTGAGAAACGCTATCGGAACGTATAAGTACACATACTTGATACTTTGAAGTGGACATGATAATAGATCGACATTTCACATATCGTTGGTATGAAGAGCACTGGAAATTCGTCTAACCTATTGACGAAAAAAAAGGCGGTCAAGTGTCAACCACAAGTCAAGTCCGAAACTAGAACTACAAAATGATACCTGAGAAGTTAAGGGTATGTTCTCTTCACCATTTTCAAACCGTTTTTTGTTTTTTGTTTTCGATTTTTCAAAACAGTGAAAACGTGTTCTCTTTACTATTTTCGAAAACATGTTTTTGAAAACAAGTTAAAAATTTATAAAGAAAACTCAAAATGACAAATTTGTCGTTTTGAGTGTTTTTAATTATAATCAAGTCAAAATTTCCAAACGCGTTTTGGGTGTTTTCAAAATGATTTTTCAAAATGTCAAAAAATACACATTTTCAACAATCTCAAAATGAACACTCATTTTGAGTGTCCATTTTGTCATTTTGAAAAGTTATTTTCAAAAATTAAAAAAAAAAATGAGTTTTTGGTTTGGTTTTAACTGAAAACAGTCAAAACGACTTTTTTGGCGTTTTCTATTTTCTTTGTAAATTTTAAACTCGTTTTTGAAAATTCGTTTACGAAAATAGGTAAGTAAACATGTTTTTAGTGTTTTCGAAAACTAAAAATTAAAAATGACTTGAAAATAACAAAGAGAACGGGTCCTAATTTTCCTAAAAACAAGACACATCCTCCAATAATAAGAAGAGTGGCTTTCACTCTTCTTTTGGGAGGTCCATGTTTTTTGGAGTTCTCTGAGTTAGTCCCTTAGCTCATGAGTTAGGGGTTTTAAATGGGGAGAGTCAAGCAGCTTGATTCGCTACGTGAGTCGATCTATTCCACAAACTTGCTTCTTGATGGGGTTAGCCGAGCTGGCTTGCAATTAATTAATTAATTTATTTATTTACTGAAATTGATTTTTCACTCACTTATGATTAGTCGTCTCGTGAATCATTTGTGAGCTAGCTTGCACACGAGTTAATGACTAGCGAGTGAGCTAGCTCGATTTGTTAGCCAACTTGTCCCAATTGTTATGTAGCTCGTACAAACTTTTTGCTGCTCGGCTTGTTGATGGGACAAGTCGAGTCGGCGAGGGGCTCACCCAATATCCCCTACCTTAAGTCCAAAATTTAGGTCTTTTAGAATATCATCTCACTCAAGACTCGGACGCTAAAGTAATTTACCTTTTCATCTATTAATCGTCTTCATTAGGTAGAGCACAAGCCCTCAAGATTATAAAAAAAAAACTCTTACATTATGTATAAAATGAAAAATATGCGTGGAGTAAATGATTGCAGGTAGTTAATAGAGTGTGCTTTTAGGTTTCATGAAGATATACGTAATGATAGAGCGGCTTCTCAAAGCAAAACCATAAGCTTTTAAGCCTCTCATTGTACCATTATTAGCGTACAAGGTTGTTCCATATCATTACTCACACTCTTGTCTACCTCAACTTTAAAGCTTCCAAGGTAAGATTGTAGTATCATCTGGTGGGGTATATTAATCTGAGTAGTTCATGAATGTCTGAATAATAGTTGGTAGATTGCACTTGACATAATGGTTTTTTGCTGCAACAATGTTCTCTGTTTGGATTTCAAGACCTGATTTATTCCATCTTGCCCACAAAGACAATGAAGTTTCAATATGGATAAAGAATAATCAATCATCACACTAGCATATATGAAGTAGATCTTCTTCTTCGTTTTCTGGGACCAATTTTTTTCCTTCTTCGTTTTCATGGTTTATTGTTGATTGATGCTACCAAAAATCGCACCTGATGAATTCCGAGTCTGACGAAATGAATACGAACGTGATATTTCGGTACCTGAAACAAAGGCGTCGACGTATATCATCGTCGTCCATCCGATTCTTAAGTCAGAGAGAGAAGATGAAAAAGCTTGAGTGCTGAAATTGTATGTAATAACGTACCTGAATAATGATCCATGATTTCATATTTATAGAGGTAGGTGGTGCAATCCTAGGACTTGGTTTGATATATGTCCTTACCCTTAGGAATCCTGCATGAGATGAGTATCGTATTATAACTGTAGATCTAGTCATAGTTTGACTATGACATTTAGCGATGTAGACCCCTTCAGGACGTAGGAGTCTTGAGGTATTTCAATAGACTTAGAATTCCTAGAATACCAAATCAATTCATGTCTAAGGAAACCTCCTGAGTTTGGCCAAGGAAAATGACCGATGACACAATAATAATGAAAACCCGATGATACATCCGGAGGACTCCATCACCATGTTACCATATAATCATATTTACAATGTTCGAGATACCCGAGGACATCATGCCCCCATTTAGTATATACCACTCCTCGAGACTACGAAGCTTGGGGTGATAGTAAAGGCCCATATCATTGATATTTGTCATGAGTTCGAGTTAGTAACTATTTGGTTCAAAACGAGATCAATGCCTAGATTATGTGGAAAGAGTGAAGTCTTAATAGGTTGATAATCTAGGTCGAGCCTCCTTTGGAGGGGATGTCAAGTCCTTTAATTCCCTTTAAAAAAATTCTATTTAGATTAAAACCTCCAAATTTATGCACATGCTTATATGTAAAGTCAAATGCATTCAAGATTACGACCATATATCTTGTTAAGACCTTATACGACTAATTTTGAGATCTTGTGTGTGCTTGTTTTAACTTAATAAGCTCTGATACCATGATAGAGGAGAATCTCATAATTTTGTATGTTTATTCTTTTGAGGTGAGATTTATCCTTTAATATATCAAACTCACAATCACAAAATGAAATTTAACTTTCAATTTATTGAAATCTCGTGTGTTTGTTTGAATTTAATGAGATCCGATGCCATGTTGGAGGAGAATCCCAAAATTTTGTAACTTATTCTTTTGATATGAGATTATCCTTTAATATATCAAGTTCACGATCATAAAATGAAATTTAGCTTTCAATTTATGACACAAATAACTTGATGGTTTTAATATTGTGTGATTCATCAACTGAGCAACATGAGAATTAAGGACTCAGAAGCATCAAATCTAGAGAGGATATGACCACAAGGAGGTTCTTACTCCTTAACCAACGACCTCGACCTCGTGCATAAAGAGCCATAAGAATGTGAGAAACAATTATGATTAAAATAGTACCGAATCTATATCAATCCGGGGATGTAGCTCAAATGGTAGAGCGCTCGCTTTGCATGCGAGAGGCACGGGGTTCGATCCCCCGCATCTCCATATTTTTCATAATTTTCTTCTCTGAGCTAAACTTGCTTTTATGAGTATTTTATTTGATCTTTCAATTTATCCTCTCAAATTCAACACTGTGCTCCAACTTTGCACATCAATGGCGGTTCCTTTTTTCAATCTCGCTCCCGATATGACAGTGTCGAGACTCTGCTTAGGTTTTTTTTTTTCTCTAATTATTTTTTTCCTCTTCTACTATTTCTAGGAAGAATTTCTCGATTTAAATACGTTTCTGGAATAATTTGACACAGGGACCATGACTTTCGGCGAGCAAAACACATTGCCTCAATCCTTTCAACTCCTGGATAAGGCCCTCGATTCTGGAATCAATTTCTTTGATTCTGCTGAAATGTCTGGCATATTTTTTTGCTTTATCTATACATTTTTTAAAACGTTTTTACCGTATCTTTTGTAGCTTTATTCGTAATTTTTGGCATCCTATTGTTAGGTATCCAGTGCCGCAGCGTGCAGAAACTCAAGGAAGAAGTGAGGAGTACTTCGGCCGTTGGATGCGAAGTCGAAAAATCCCTCGCGACCGTGTAATCTTTGCTACAAAGGTCTTATTGGTTTACTCGATAATATAATTTGCATATATAATTACACCTGTACGTGCACATCACACTGTGGTTAACGTATATATTGTACTTTTCGATTTCAGTAGATGAAATGCATAAAGGGAGCATAAATTCCTTGTTATCAAGGTCTTATCTTTGAATGAATTTCTAATTATTACAAAAAGAAAATCATATAATTCCTTGTTATGTGTATGAATTGAGCTTAAACTGAGCATAATTGAGTTTGTGCTATCGAGGTGAGCTGGCCATGTGTTTTTTGAAGATTTAACGGAGTCTAACTGAAGATTAATCTAGTGCCTAATTGTATTTGAGATTCAAGTAGCTTAAATTCTTCGGCAGCCGACTATAATCTAAAAAGATATTCAGAGAGAGCTTAATTGATTGATGATGAATTCCACTCAAATTTAGTCTCTTAGAGCTTGACGTGCAGAAATCTATGTTCATTTAGTCCCATTAAGACAAAAGTGGTCACAAGACTTAATAAGTTTGAAAAGAAACTCTGATATATTGGCGCGAGGGATGAGATTTGACTTTTATTTATTTGTTTGTCTTGATTTTTAAATATCCCATCATATACATATGTAGTACATGTTGCTTAACTGTACAGAGCCATATATAATGTACTGAAGGTTTCTAATATTGGCTTAGTTTCTCAGACAATATACGGATCATACTGGCCTTTGATTACTCGCTTATCAATGAATTGGCTACTGTGTATACTTTTTAAAATTATTTTGAACTGTATGGAGATAGGTTAGTGGACCATCTGGTCAGATGACTTGGATTAGAAATGGACCTGAAAGTCTGGACACTTGGAATATAACTGAGGCCATTGACAACAGGTTATGCTGAACTTTGTTTTTCATTTTCCTTTATCATTCCATGCTGTACCTGTTGAGTATGTTTCTTTTCGTCACCTAAATTTCTGGCTTCTGCTGATTCCTTCTGGTAGACGTCATTGCATTTTTCTATCATTGTCTTTGAATTTGAAGTGCTTTTTTTTTTGCGGTCTACAGTTGATTATTTAGTGTTAACCTCTCACAGCAAAATTTATTGCAGTTTACTACGTCTGCAAAGTGACTACATTGACTTGTATCAAATTCATTGGCCTGATCGGTTTGTATGTCAACTCGCTATTATTATATCTTCAACCAGAGAATAACAATTTCCTTTTTTTTTTCTCCATATTGAGGAATATACATCTTTATCAGCTGTAAAGTATAACTTAGGATCTCCCAATACTTGAAAGGAAAAATCATTCACAAATCTGTTTTTCTCTTTTCTTGAATTTCTTACAGCTATGTTCCTGTGTTTGGAGAAACTGAGTATGATCCAACCCAAAATTATTCATCTGTGAGTATTGATGAACAACTTAGTGCTTTAGCCAAAGCCATTGATGCTGGTAAGGTTAGTGATGATATGCGATGGTGTACTTTGCTGTCAACATCAAATGTTTTGGAACTATACTTTTGTTGGAGTAAAAAATATCTTCTGCAGATAAGATACATCGGGCTAAGTAATGAAACACCATATGGTCTTATGAAGTTCCTACATGTTGCCGAATGTGGATCTGGCTATCCCAGGATAGTATCTGTGCAGGTGTAGTATGGTTCAACTCTGATGAAAAGAAGTGAGGCTGCTAATGCTTCTCTTCTTCATTGTGCTGCTCTTTCTCCCATCCTTTACCTCTTATATATGATGAGAAATAAGCATAGTTGAAGTTCTTTATTTTCAGAACTCGTACAACCTGCTCTGCCGAACTTTTGATTCAGGGATGGCTGAATGCTGTCATCATGAGAGGTATTCACCATATTGCATAAATCTGTTGATCGGCAGTCTTGCAATTTGAACTCTCTGTGGTGTGATTTCTTATAGAGCAAATGGTCTCTATCATGCATCACAATTAGGATATGATGGTAAAAAATAGTATAACGCAGTAATTATATGTACAATATTGCCGTAGCTAAAAATATCAATATGAGAAGAGCCCATCTGAAAGGTTATGTGCCAGAAGCCATGTGCTTTTTTGCGTGGCTTGGCTTTGAGTTTCACTTATTTAACATAGAGTTTTAACGAATTATGAACATCAAAATTGAATGCTTGCATATACTTCTATTATTTTGAAAACTCTATATAGTTTTGCATATGCAGATACTTAATTCAATGGTGGATGTTATTTTTTACCTGTTACCACTAAAGTGGAAGTAATCTCTGTGTTCATTGCACCCATCAATCATTAGTTGTTCCAGAAACCAGACATCTGAATGGCTACAGCAAAGATGATCTGGTGCAACACTTCCCTTTTCATGTATCTTAATGAAAAATATTGTTCCTGATCATACATTTAACCATATCAAAAGATGAGATGTCTCCATTTATTTAAAGTATTTGCACTCCAGTCCCATAATTAATCATGATGTTTGTTGTTTAAAATTTTCAAGGGTAAGCTTATTAGCCTACAGCCCTCTGGCCATGGGAATCCTTTCAGGGAAGTATCTCTCACTTGATGGGTGTCCGGCTGATGCTCGTCTGAATCTCTTCAGAGGTTAGTTTCTAAGTTTTACAGAGATTACTTTGTTCTGCTTAATTTTCTCACAAGACTGCCTGCATTCTTTTAGGGCGTTATGTCGAAGGGGAGTCGAGATACAACTTGTCAAGTGGTTTAATTAGAAAAACTACTGAAGTAAGCTAGTTCTTCCTCAACGACCGCTTCATCAATTTATTAGATTCTGTAGTTGACTGCTGACTGTAGAAAAATAGGGACGAATTTTTCTTAGAGTTAAGAATCGCTAATTTCAATCAGCATTGTAAAAATGTCAGCCATAAATTAACACCAGTTTAGGATACTGGTGGAAGCTTTCATCAATTTGATTACCCCGTTTCCTTCTTCTTGGACCTCTAAGTTCCATTATGAAGTGCGATAAGTATCTCCGAGTGTTGAACTAAAGATGCTTCTTTAGATTTCACGATTCTTTTCTCAGGCGGTAAATCAACATCCCATCTTTATGAAGCTCTTAAGGGTGTTAGACTGCATGTGGCATATTTCACACGCCTCTACTGATCGATACTTTTAATTGTATCTTGCAGTTGTACCTTGACATTGCTGCAAATTATGGCATTCATCCAGTTTCTCTTGCAATAGGTATAGCATAATCTCTATCTTGCTGTTGCTCACGTGCCACCAACACCAGTTGTTTTTATGAAGAGTGGTTTCTTTAGCTTCATGAAACTTATGGTGTTTTCTTGTAATGCCTATACATTTTTCTATGCTTCTTACACTTCGAATGATTCGGACAGCTTTCGTTTTGAGGCACCCTCTTGTTGCAAGTGCTGTTTTTGGAGCGACAAAGCCATGGCAACTTGAAGAGGTACTGGATGGTTGCAGAGTCGAGCTTATTCCCGAAATAGTTGCAGAAATTGACAGGGTGCATTCTGCGTTTCCAAATCCCTGTCCCTGATAAATGTCGTTTTTTTTTTAAATTTTATTTTTCACTTCCCTCCTCCCCTTCCTTCTTGGCAGAAAAATAGAACTATGTATAACTTGGAATTTTGGAAACATGTCCATTTTGTTAGAGGGTATATATAAAAATTCATTAGTTCACCTTGTTAAACGATTATTAAGCCATGTTCTAAAAGGCGCGCAAATGCGTCGCCTAGGCGCGACGCGAGTCGTAATTTGTCGAATTCGGGAAAAATGCGTTTCCATCTAAAAGACGCGAACTCATTACGGCGCTTATTTTTTGCATTGACACGCTTAAACTTGTGATTCTTGATTCTCGACCTCGACGCATCGCAACACATTACGCATTTTAGAACACTGTTATTAAGTGAGTGTGCACGTATGCACTGGTGTTGAATAAAGGAAATAAAAGATCAATTTGTCGAATTACAAATTTATTAAAAATATAGCTTTAATTGCTATTAGGACAAGGATATCCAACCATTCTTAAATATAGAAAGTAGATTGAAATCTAATCCAATGACACTTTAAAAATCCAATATTCTAATTACTAAAAGCTTAAAAAAGAAAATTAAAGCCATCTGGGTTTATTGCACCGCAGGTCCCCAACTTTTTCATTTTGTCCTCGTGTGTACAAGACTTTTAATCGCCAGCCTATCACTAATTCATGCAGATTGTTCTACTTCCATCCAAATCTACAGTTAAGTTAAACAAGTGCCTTGCGCGACCTTTTTGGCAAAGGGAAATTTTTCATCATACGACTAATTCAGTTCATTTCTATGATTAATTTTTACGTGTGGTTTTTAATTATTAAGTTTTACTGGGAGTTTACAAAAAATCCACTTCAAACCAAATGTTGTTAATTGGAAAAATTAAAATTTTTAATTTGTTGGAACTATACTTTTGTTGAAGTAAAAAGTAAAAAATATCTTTTGCAGATAAGATACATTGAGCTAAGTAATGAAACACCATATGGTCTTATGAAGTTCCTACACATTGCCAAATGTTGATCTGTCCATCCCAAGATAGTATGATTAGTATCTGTGCAGGTGTTGTATGGTTCAACTCTGATTAAAAAGTAGTGAGGCTGCTGCCGCTGCTTTTGTTCATTGTGCTGCTCTCATTCTCTCTCTCCTCTCCTTTGCCTTCATATATGATGAGAAATAAGCAGAGTTGAACTTCTTTATATTCAGAGCTCATACAACCTGCTCTGCCGAACTTTTGATTCAGGGACGACTGAATGCTGTCATCATGAGAGGTATTCACTATATTGCATGAATCTGTTGATAAGCAGTCTTGCAATTTGAACTCCCTGTGGTGTACTCGCTTAAAAAGCAAGCAGTGATCTCTATCATGCATTACAATTAGGATATGATGGTAAAATGTAGAATCATGTACTAAATAATCTAAACAGTATTGCTGGTGCTAATAATGTCACTATGTGCAGCGTCCATCTGAAAGGCTCAGTGCCAGCAGCCATGTGCTTTTTGTTTGTCCCGGTTTTGAGCTTCACTTATTGATTGAACTCCGCGTTATAACGAATTCTGAACTTCTAAGATTCTAAACTGAATGAGTGCATATTCTTCTATTATTTTGAAAACTCTATGGTTTTGCAAATGCAAATATGTAACGCAATGGTGTGAAGAAAAGGAACTATATTCTCTTTAGGTAGATTCTTTGCTTTTATGGATGTTGTTTTTACCAATTATCACTAGTGGGAAAATAATCTGTGTTCATTGCACCCATCAATCATTTAGTTGTTCCAGAAATCAGACATCTGGATGGGAACTGCAAAGATCACCCGGCGGCGCAAAACACATTCACCAGCACACTTTATTTTTCATGTATCATGAAAGAATTTGTTCCTGATCATACATTTAACATTATCAAAAGATGAGATATCTTCATTTATTTAAGATATTTGCACTCCTGTCCCACATCATTAATCATGATGTTTGTTAAAAAATTTCAAGGGTAAGCTTATTGGCCTACATCCCTTTGGCCATGAGCATCCTTTCTGTAATTATCTCTCACATGATTGGGTCCAGCTGATGCTCGTCTGAATCTCTTCAGAGGTTTGTTTCTATCTAATCCAGAGATTGCGGAGTGCTGAAGGGGAATGGAGATCAAATTTGTCAGATGGTTTAATTAGTAAAACTACTGAAGCAAGCTAGTTCGTTCTAGATGACTGCTATATATAAGATTCTATAGTTGACAGCTGACTCAAGAAACTTGGGGACAAGAATTTCTTTGAGCTAATTTCTATCAGTATTGTGAAAACGTGGGCCATAAAATTAACACCAGTTTAGTGGGAAGTGCTGTCTGCTGATGCTTGGTACCCNCAAGTTATCTACTGCACAACAGCACCCGTCAACAACTTCACAGTAACTGGCAACTTCCAATAAACCATTGGGAAATAGTTCATCAACTGATTTCGTCAAGGTGCTGCTTAACTTTGCATTCTGGAACACCTGCAGTCGAACCAAAACTGGGAACTATTGATGTCCTTGTCCACCATCTTCCTCGCAATTGTTTGTGCAACTCTGTAGCACAAACACTTTAATTAGGGTAGCATGTCCGTGTCTGACACGTGTCGGACACGAGTCGATACGGACACTTCTCGAACACTCAACCAGAATCATTTTTCTTTTTGTATTAAAAATATTATATATTGTTAATTCAAAATTATTAGCAAGTAACAAATAGGTACTCATGTTTAAAAGATTTCGACAAGAAAAATTAATAACAAGTATAATACTAAATTTATATTATATAAATGAAGAATTTTTAAGAATTTAATCAACGAGTCATGTCTGTATTTTTTTTAAAAATCGCGTGTCGGCGTATCCAACATATATCGTGTCGGACACACGTGTCCGTGTCGATGCATCATAGTTATTTACCTTATCTTGCTTCCTACATTTTCGTATTGTTTTCCTTAACAATATGAGAGTTCTTAATGTTGGACCAGATTACGAGCAGAAGTTAATTTCCTTTTTTCTCTATTGAATGATGTTTTTGACCTTAAGAAATTCAAGAATCTGAGAGAATTGCTGCTATTCGGACATAGAGATGCTAATTTGTAGCACCCGAGATTCCTGGTGCAATTTGATTAGATAGATGTGGTTGACAATTACTGCTTAAGAGGGTTCCAAATGGGATACCATTATCAGATAAATGAATATACTGAAATAGGTTGCTGGTAGGAGTTCAAAACACCAATTCTGCCCTCATATGGATGTACCCTCAATGATTCACACCAAAGTCCAAGTGCTCGCTAGTTAAAAAACGAAAGCAAAAGACACCTTCTGTGACCTTATCTTCACCAAAATTTAGTTAACTCATCACAAGAAAAATAAAAGAGTTAAGGCTTTAGCAGGACTCTTACTGGATGTGTAAATGCAAGCCATTCATGAATTTGCTAAGCAGCATGTTTTCTAGCTATGCATTTATGAATGTTGTATCAGTTTGTTGAACTTCATGAAACTTTACTTATTGTCATGATTTATTGCCTAACAAGCTTATATCCTCTGTTACTTATAGTTGTGGTCCAAGAGTTTAAGTTGTGAAATAATACCAATATATTTTCCTATGCTTCTTACACTTCAAATTATTTGGACAACTTTCATTTTGAGGCTCCCTCTTGTTGAAATCGCTATTTTTTTGGAGCTACAAAGCCATGGCAACTTGAAGAGGTACTCGATGTTTGCAGAGTCGAGCTTATTCCCGAAATAGTTGCAGAAATTGTATTTCCAAATCCTTGTCCCTAATAAACATCTTTCTTTTTTCTTCACTTACCTCATCCCTTCCCTTTTTGGCTCAAAAGTAATATGTACACTCCATTTGTTAAGAGGGAAATATATAATTACCTTATTGAGCGATTATTAAGCCCCGTGTGTGGTCCTCATTTTTTCTTAAATTTATTTTCAACCACACTTTTCATTGAATCCACAATTTTTTTTTCAATTTTTTAATCACATGTTTTATGAACTTTTATCAAAATCTACTAAAAATCTAATTCTTAACTAAATCAAACGAGGGCTGACTGACTGTGCACATGTGCACGGATGTTGAACAAAGGAAATAAGAAGATAAATTTATCGAATTACTAATTTATTAGAAGTAAAGTTTGAATTGCTATTGTGACAAGGAAATCCAACCACTCTGAGTTGCAAATCTCCTACTAGTGAAGTGGTTGATTTATTCTTTCAGCATGTACAAAGACAAAATTAGTCAAATGCTTCTTGATCACCCCTTTTTTTTTAACAAGGTACAAAACTTTCCATTGATAAAGCTTGCTGCTAACAACAGACGAAATAAAGAGCAGAATACAATTAACAAAATAAAAAGGAACCCGAATATCACTTTGACTCTATTACCATTGAATTAAAACTTAATCTGCATTCCCTCTGTATTCCAAAATGATCGTATAGAAAATAATTTAGAAGTACTCATTCGAGAGTGTGTCTGTTAGAAATTTTCATTAGATTTTGAGCAGAAAAGTTACCCTTTTTTTCAACCTGTGGTTCCCACATGTAAGATATGGGGTCAACAATGGCTACTGAATTTAAAAATTAACGGTACAAAAATCCCCTTTTTTGATTTGAAAAGCTCCACCAAACACACCCCGAGTAACTTTTGCAATTTCGATTTTTATTCAAAGAAAAAGTCCTTGAATAATATAAGTTTTCTATTATTTTATTCTATCGCAAATTAAGTTATATGTCTCGACTTTGAAATGTCCAATTTGTTTCCAGTTTTAATATTTATTTCAAATTTTCCAATTATGTCAAATAAATTGACTGAAGAAAACGCTTTCTGTTCTGGATTAGTCCAAAATTTTGACTGAAAATCTTTAAAAAAAAAAAATGTCTTCTACTATCCTGTTTAGAGCATGTTTGAGTGCTTGTTTATTTACTTATAAGTAAAGAGAAAGTATAAAAAATTATGGTATTTCTCCCTTCTTAATTATATAAAGTAAAATTAAGCGTAAACACCCAAAGCTTATGAATAGGAAAAGTGCCCTCCTGTGGCTAACTTAGTACTGCAAAAGATACGATCGAGATATTTTCAACTGAGTTGGATTACAAGGTATGAAATTGAACTTTTTGTGCGCGTGACAGTTCTGGGCTAACTCAGTGCTGCAAAAGATACGAACGAGATATTCTCAACTGAGTTGGATTGCAAAGCAGGAAATTGAACTTTTTATGCGCGTGACAGTTCTGTACCGACCTGATAAAGTATATTCCGCGATTTAACTCATCCACATTTGGTGCGGGTTGGTGGAGACGATCAAGGTTTGGGTCAACCTCTGAATTGGAAAAGTATCAACAGTTGACTCTTAATTCAGTCGGATTGGGATTTTCCCATTTTGCCAAATCTTAGGGTCTTATTAGTGTCATCATTGCAATCTATTACTTTTCATCACTTCGAAAAAAATTCTTTTCCTTTTTAACGCTTTCTACCGTGGTTAAAAGTTAAACCACTGAAAAGTGATCCATTTTAAATATCTGGCACGACTTTACGGTTCCTGGCTCTGGATCCACTGTTATTGACGCATTACTTTCAGAGTTCAATTTTTTTTGGGGTTTTCTTGGTTATATGTATTGTCAATTGAGTTTTGGAGACAAGTTTTGGTTGATTATTATAGAGATTGTTGTATAAATTTGATTTTTCTTTGTTTACATATTGTCATTTGAGCTATGGGGCCAATTCTTGGTTGATAATTATAGGGATTTATTTATTTATTTTTAATTGTTGGTTAATTTGTGGGAAGTTTTTGGATGGGTACGAAGCCGTTACTTTTTCCGGCTCCGACCTATCATCCGTTAGAGACCTATTGGGACAGCGATGAGGACGCTCCTGGGCCCCGCTGCAGTCACACTCTCACTGCCGTTGCCGCCACCAAGACCCATGGCCCCCGCCTTATTCTATTCGGCGGCGTCAAAGCCATCGAGGGAGGAAACGGAGGCGCCTCCGGCATCCGTACTGTTCTTCTCGACCTCTCTTCTTTTTGATTTGGCGAGTTGTTGAAAGTTAGTTTTTTTATTCTCTTGTTTTGAATTTGATTTTCAGGGTTAGATGGAGTGACTAATTCTGTTCATTCCTATGATGTTCTCACTCGAAAATGGATCCGGTATGTTTGATTTTAGCTACTTCAATTTTTACATGTGATTTTTTCGTTTATTGCGTTGGAGTTCAGAAAAATCCATTTCGAAGTAAATGCTGATAGTATCTTTTTTTTAAATTCCATATAATTATTTAGACTCCACCCGGCCGGTGACCCACCGTCACCTAGGGCTGCACATGCGGCTGCCGCCGTTGGCACCATGGTTGTTTTTCAGGTGATTACTGTGCAAAAATTGTAAACTTTAAGCAAAGATTTGATTTTTATTTTTTTTTGGTTAAAATTAGCTTTGACGAAATAGATTTAAAAGCAAAAGTTTCTGCATTGCTAGGGTGGTATAGGTCCAGCTGGGCATTCAAGTGATGACCTGTATGTGCTTGACATGACCAATGACAAATTCAAGTGGCATCGGTAAGCTTCTAGAAATATAGTTGCAAATTCTATATTTCTTTCCAAGAATAATACATCTGTATTCTTGATCTTTGACTTGGTGGTTGTTCTTTTTGGAGCTCAGAGTTGTAGTTCAAGGACAGGGCCCAGGACCTAGATATGGCCACGTCATGGATTTGGTTGCACAACGATACCTTGTTACAGTTAGCGGCAATGATGGTGAGGGCAAACCTTTGATTTTCTTTCACCCTTCAATGTGATTTTTTATTAGATAATTTATGTTAAATAAAAACATAAAGATTCTAGTAATTATGTTTATGTGATTACTCTTCACCTTAGCGAAACATTCATATCATAAGTCGAGCTATGGATTGTGATTGTAGCAAACTTGCATCACTATATAATCACTTTTGGAAGCTTTTATAATGGCTTCTGTTAGCTGAATGGACTTCTTTTCAATCCTGCTGTTAGATTCTGAAAAAGCTCTAATCACATTAGTTAGGATCGGGTATCAGACTATGAGGCATTGCACTCGTGGTTTATTAATGGGATCAAAATTTTAAAATATCATTTTAGCGTCTTTCAAATAGATTGTCCATTTATATATAATTCTGTCTTTTCTTGGAAACAATTGCTTGCACTCAAGGTCTTGAAAGAATTGTTTCTGTAAAGTGCAAATGGAGAGACAATTGATTATGTGTGCACCTGAGATTGCTACTTGTGATCCTCTAATGATTGGCTTTGAAATTGACATCGTATGCTGTCAAAAGAGGAAAAGTTTTGCAGTTTAACATCATGAAAGTAAGGTTTAATTGATAAAGATTGCTATATTAAAAGAGTTGTCTTCAGCAATGAAAGCATAAGCTTGGTAAAAAATCTCCAAACATACCTATAGAAATACGAATAATTATTTGGCCTCTGTTTGGGAAGAATTTATAAATAATTTAGCCCTTGTTTGAGCCCCATTTTGGATTTAAAAAAATGAGTATTAGAATAGCTTTTTTGGAGAATGTGTGGTTAAAAAATAACGAAGACTTTTAGGTTTACGTGTAATGTTATTTTATTGGATAATGTGTGGTTGAAAATAAGAGAGAGAAAAATGTATTTAAGGATTAATGGAGCCCAAACTCGGACTTAATTTATAAATAGATAGAAATGAATAGTGAATAAGTGGATAGTACTTGTGGATCCATTGGACTTTGTGGTTGAAAATGAAGTTTGACAATTTATAAATAATTTGTAATTTTTGCCAAAAGGAGGCTTGATCTTTTATTTCTCTATTGTTTTCATGCATGATGCATGTGTAATTTTCACAGTAGGCTTGAATTCAATTAGATTTTTCTTCCTTAGTGCTGGCTATTTTATTCACTTCTTTTACTAATATTATTTAGAACTGTTGGTTTATAACTGACCCTATATAACGGTATTGTCTGCAGGTAAAAGAGCGTTATCAGATGCTTGGGCTTTTGATACTGCTCAAAAACCATATATATGGCAGAGGCTTAACCCAGAAGGCGATAGACCGTCTGCGAGGATGTAAGTTACATTGTATATCTGAATTTGAATTAGCAGTGTTTGGCTTTTGAACAACTTTTCTGCCAGAACGTTCTGGTTGGTAGTGTGGTTGCTTTCGCACTATCATTGAACTGTGCTGCTGTACTACTCCATTCTTTTCTATTGCTGTTCAAAACTTGATTATCCAGTTTTTAGAGCATATTTGGCTAATTTTAGAAAGTAAACTTACTTTCTGAAAAAAAAAAAGGAAGTAAACATGTCCTTATAAAAAAGTAACATCTTGTGCAAATCTTTTTTAGAGAGAGTTACTTTTAGAAAACAGCCAGACCAGTTTGGGAGAAAACATGCTTGGCCAAGCTTAAAAATACATTTAATGGACTTTTACTTATTTCTTAGGTTTAGCCCAAAATGCTTTTAGATGATCTCAAAGCAATATTATAATTGTTTCTTGAGGAAGTTCCCTACCATTAATCTGGTTGGTCTATTAACTTTTCACTACAAAAAAACTGGAGTTCTTGTACATGCAAGGTCATTGACAGGTCATGGAATTAGTTATCACACTATGGTTTTGTATCTCTTATTTGAAAATTGACCCTTGGTTTTCTTTGTTCCGTTTTCTGGTTTTTTCATCTAATGGATCATGACTGCTTTTGAGCGTGGAACTAAGCACTCTTAATTCACACTTATCTTTTTACATAATTCTATTTTCTTAGATATCCTTCCTCTATTACCCACTTTTATTCTAATAGGAGGTATTAGAACACAATCACAGATAAAGTTCAAATAAGTCCCACATACTATATGTTCTAAAAAATTGTAGGTTGCTGGCCAATTGCACCAGTATACTCCTCAAGAAACTTTCCTGAGTGACGTTCAGTGCATTGGAGTCATCAATCTATACACTAAATCACCTACTCTTATTCCTGAAATATTATTAACTGCATTCATTGAACAGCAGACATATTTAGAAAAAAATATGTTCCTTTTGTAGGTATGCGACAGCCAGTGCTAGGTCAGATGGTATGTTTCTGCTTTGTGGTGGAAGAGATGCTTCCGGCACGGTATGGTTGATTTTATTTTCCTTGGACTTAAACTAGTCATAGGATCCATTTCTTATAACCAGAATACCGAGGTAATAGATCTTAGAAAAGGAGAGGGACTTGCATCAAGGTGCTCAACATTTTTTAGATTCGGAAGATTCTTTTCTGCCCGTGTTAGTGCTTATTTCTTGAAGCAATGGTACAATGATGAGCCATTTTATTTCCTAAATAGAACCCATAAGAGCACATATTCTTCTCTTCCTGGCTAATTCAAAGGTTTTTAATATTGAGGCCTACTTGACGATGTGCGTTTACTGAGTCGGTAGTTGAATGTATGTCTCACAGCCTCTTGCAGATGCTTATGGACTGCTTATGCATAGGAATGGCCAATGGGAGTGGACTCTTGCACCAGGCGTGTCACCTTCCCCAAGGTATCAACATGCAGCGGTAAGTGATATATCTAATGATTAATTGCTGGTGCTGCTTCCACTCTGAAATTTCAATTCTCTTATTCATTCTTAGGATTATAAATGTTGGTAATTTGATCTCAATTGGAATTCATTCCTCTGATTTGTGAGAAGTTATGTTCAATCTGGATTTCTTTGGCTCTTGATTTAAGTGAAACTGAATTAGATTTGTGGAAAAGAATATAAAATAGCCCAACGACTGCAAAAGGAAGGATGGCTTTCTGGTTTATAATTTTCTTACTCTTTTCAGCTCGACTTTTGAGAAACTTTATACTATCTACGTCATTACAACTCTCTTTCAGTTTGCTTGATTGAGCTAAGTATTCAAACACCCATCAATGTCTACTAATAGTTGTTCTCACCATTCCAAAAACCATATTATGAAAATTTTTGGTCTTATTTATCTTTTTTTTTTTTTCTGATAAGGGTTCTAAAGGTTTTAAAGGATTAGATTTGATGGCATACTCTCCTCTCTTTGCACCTTATTCTTCAATAATTGAGCAATTTCTTTTATCAGGTTTTTGTTGGTGCTAGATTGCACGTTACTGGTGGTGTTCTTAAAGGAGGACGAGCAGTAGAAGGTGAAGCAGCAAGTGCAGGTAACTTTTCAGACTTCTTTTCTAATTGTTATTCTATTTATTCATTTGAAAAGCGTCTACATTAATTTTCATTATTATTTCTGTTTGAAGTACTGGATACTGCTGCCGGGGTTTGGCTTGACAGAAATGGGCTGGTGACTTCACGTGTTAACAAAGGACATTCTGAGCATGATCCCTCTTTGGAGCTTATGCGTCGATGTCGCCATGCAGCTGCATCTGTTGGTGTCCGAATATATATTTATGGTGGTCTAAGAGGAGGTAAAGATTGTAATTAGTTGAGGCATCCTGCCATCTTTCGACCCCTTTTAACTTCGTCGGGACATGCCATCAGATTCTAGATGTGCGTGAACATGTTGCAGCAAGTATTGTTTGACACATCTGTTTCTATGAACAAATTTTCCACTGTTACAGCTTTGTGTAATTTCCTACTACACATCTCACACCACTCTGATGCATTCAAGCTTATAGAAATAAAAGAATTCATGACAATTTATAAGGAATGCAAGCATGCAAAGGAAAGAGGTGTCTATTAACGTACTGCTGAAATTAACATCTTTCATTTGTCAACGCGACTGCGATATGATCTTTATCGATTGAAAAGATGGTTGTGTGATATAATAAATGTGTAATTGGTTTACAGAGTTAAAAATATATATTTTGCATCTACTATTCCTATTTTCTATATTTATTTACGAACTCTTTGAATTTTTATTTTTTGCAGATACTTTGTTTGGTGATCTTCTGGTTGCAGAAAATTCTCCATTTCAATCTGATGTCAATTCTCTAGTACCATCGTCTGACAGTGATTGGATAAATACAAATTCGGCATCAAATTCAAGTTTAACTTCTTATTCTCCCACACCAACTCAAGATGGAAGATCTGAAATACCCTCATCTGGTGGTTTGAGGTTTGATCCCATGGCATGCCTTTTAAGTTCATCATGTGTTTTAAGGAAGTTAAGCAATAACTATAAGAAGTGTTACTTTCTTTATACAGTACGGACAAAAATTCGATGGCGAAACTGGCTGAGGCGTCTGCTGCTGAAGCCAAGGCTGCTAATGCTGTCTGGCAAGCAGCTCAGGCAGCATCAGCTACTCCTGAAGAAACATCTGTATCAGATGACGCTTCACAAGCTGAAGAGACCATTTCAGAGGGTAGTGACACTGGGGCTGATGTCCGCCTTCACCCAAGAGCGGTATGTTTGTTCACCATGTTGTGCTTTATATATGGTATACCTTGTACATTACAGCCATGTAAGCTTTATTACCATCTATGCTATACAGGTTGTAGTTGCAAAAGAAGCTGTGGGCAACTTGGGTGGTATGGTTAGGCAGTTATCTTTGGATCAATTTGAAAATGAAAGTAGACGAATGATTCCACTGCACAATGATTTGTCACATCCAACCAAAATATTTATGAGGCAGAATTCTCCTCAAGGCTTGCATAAAAAGGCAAGTTCTACCAAGTTTCCCTTCTTTTCTTTCCTCCTTTGAAAGAAGAATAGAATAAACAAAATATGTATAGAAAAGGATTGGTCCTAGTTCTCATTTGCCATGTATTGCCGCAGATCATATCTGCTTTGCTTAGGCCTCGAAATTGGAAACCTCCTTCGAACAGAAAATTCTTTCTGGACTCCTATGAAGTTGGTGAGCTTTGTTATGCAGCTGAGCAGATCTTTATGCATGAGCCTACTGTTCTTCAACTGAAAGCTCCTGTCAAAGTGTTTGGTGATCTGCATGGGCAGTTTGGTGATCTCATGAGGTTGTTTGATGAATATGGATTTCCTTCAACTGCAGGCGATATCACGTAAGTTCATAGTTATAGATTATGGAACAGAGGGGACTCCATCAGGCTTGAGATTGACACATGTTATAGGCTTTACAAGCACGTGCAAGGTTCTATAATCCAGGGTACAACAGTTGATGCTCAGGGGCACTCAGTGATTCACAAAATAGAAATTTGTCTTCCAAGTTGAAGTATTGCCCCTGTTTGGTTTAGCTAAAAACTAAATTTTTAGTAGATTTTGATTAAAGTTGATGAAATATATGGTTAAGAAATTAATAAAAGTTGTTGGTCCTATGAAATGCGTGGTTGAAAATGAGTTTGAGGGAAAAATGAGTTTTAGAGAATGGGGGTCAAACAGTGGCATTATTTCTTCCTATTTTCACTTTTCCAATTAAAAATTTCCTCCAGCAGCTGCTTATTTCTCTTGCTAAATGTTATTATTCACATGATTTCTATTGCTCGGTTATTTGTTTCTCTGAAAGCTTTTAGCAACTGACGTGCTCTCTCCTTTTGGGTGAATAACAATTTTTAAATTTCCTGTGGAGTCATTGAACGGACTTTTTTCTTTTTTCTTTTTTCTTTTTTCTGTCACTGCAGTTATATTGACTATCTGTTTCTGGGAGACTATGTTGATCGAGGACAGCACAGTTTGGAGACCATCACTCTACTTCTGGCTCTAAAGGCGAGCTGCTGACTTGACTAATTTATTGCTTGTTCTTTGTGATGGTTTTGTTTTATTATCTTATATTTCCTTAATTGACCTCAGATAGAGTACCCAGAGAATGTTCACATAATACGCGGGAACCATGAAGCTGCTGACATCAATGCCCTTTTCGGATTTCGCATTGAATGTATTGAGAGAATGGTACGTATATGTGCAAATTATTTCTTTTATAGACTTCCATTTGATGAATGATGATTGATGTACCTGTGTAGGGAGAGAGCGATGGGATCTGGGCCTGGACACGTTTCAATCAATTATTTAACCACCTTCCACTTGCTGCGCTTATTGAGAAGAAAATCATATGCATGCATGGTGGCATTGGGAGGTCAATAAATTCAGTAGAACAGATAGAGAAACTAGAGAGGCCCATAACGATGGATGCTGGGTCAATTGTACTAATGGATTTGCTATGGTATGCTTAACGTTATATTCTACATTTTTGCGTATAGCCAATGCCTTACACACCTGTGTTATTGTGCAGGTCTGATCCCACTGAAAATGATAGTGTAGAAGGTTTGAGACCAAATGCTAGAGGACCTGGTCTTGTAACATTTGGGGTATGCATTTAATGAATTGACACGGAAATTTGTTTGATTGAGATCCATCTGTCAATCTTGTCACAAGAATAACTTTTTACCTGCATATAATATCCCTCTGCATTTCTGTTTAATCTATTATTATTGCAGCCTGATCGGGTCACAGAATTCTGTAAGAAGAACAAATTGCAGCTCATCATAAGAGCACACGAATGTGTTATGGATGGATTTGAACGGTTTGCCCAGGGACAGTTAATCACTCTTTTTTCCGCAACCAATTATTGTGGTAATTGTTTAGAAATCAAAAATCTTCACTTTCACTTTCTTCTAGAGCTGGATTTGCAATCTGATTGAATAATTGCATCCAGGGACTGCAAATAATGCTGGGGCAATATTGGTAGTTGGCAGAGGATTGGTCATTGTTCCAAAATTAATTCATCCCTTGCCGCCTCCTCTCCAGTCGCCGGAGACATCTCCTGAACGTGTGACTGAGGAGAGGTGGATGCAGGTGATCCTGTTGACTTTTCTTATGTTCATAAAACTTTCTTGTGTTGATCCTATTCTTACTAGTAGTAAACCTGGTTGGCTGGATGCTGCTTACAAACTATTGATTTTTGATTTGCTTACTTTAGGAGCTTAACATTCAAAGACCTCCTACTCCTACAAGAGGCCGCCCACAACCTGACTTAGACCGAAGTTCACTTGCCTATATTTGAAGTCGCTTGTCGATCTCTTAATATCACTATGTCCTGCGGGGCCTGAAGTCCTCTAGGACCATGATTTTATGTGCATCGCCATCTGCAGCCAACAACCATGTTGTATTTTACGGATACAGTTCAAAAGTTCCGTTTTTAGTGTCACACCGAGTGGTAGGTGAGTTAGCAAATGGACTACATAGTAACTTCTCTTCATTGTGTTGCTTTTTAGATTTTGTACAAAGCCAGCCCGGTATAAATGGTTTTTCTGATGTGTAGAAGTGAATATACTAGAGTGAAAGTAGCCCTTTTATGTTATCATAATTACGGTATAATTTATTGTTGTTTCAGGTTGAGAACAGACGTATGTGTTCCTGTCGGTTGGATTTTTATTTTTATTTTTTTCATAAATTTGTGTTTTTAACCATAGTTTTCAGGAAAATTGTCTGCTGTTTTGAACTTGGAGTCTGCATTTTGTATCTACAGATTTATTGAAAATTTCTGTTAATTATTGTTCTAATGGGGGCAGTGACCTATTTCTAGGGCTGTCCGTGGTTCATTTAATAAATGAACCAATAGGATCCAAATAAATATAATTATAGAACCATTCAGGTTCGGTTCCATATCATAATTAAATTTTTTAACATTTATAGCAACGCTATATAAATACAACTAATGACATTTCATTCGTAATTTTTATAAATTATCGTAGCTCAATTCAAAAACATATAAATAACTAGTTATCAAATAAAATTAATTCAATATATACAAATACCAAAAAGTAGATTTTAATATTAAAATATCGGTGATTCATATCAAAAATTACAAATGGATTTCAAATTTCACTGTTTTTTGTCTTTAAAATGGGCTTTAAAATGATTTGGGTATTGGGCTTTAAAATTAAAATTATGAAATGATATGATTTATTTAATTAATTTGTTAATTTGTTTAGAAAAAAATAATTTAATTTAATTAATTCAATATAAAACATATAAAAAATTGTTGAGTTTCGAGTTTTATTCGATTCTTCGATTTGGTCTAGAATCGAGACCCGACCCAAACCCATCGGTTCTCGATTCGAGTACTCGTTCAGGTAAAAAANATCGGTTCTCGATTCGAGTACTCGTTCAGGTAAAAAAGATCAATAATTGGATCCAATGAAATGATGGCTTCGTTCTTGCCGCATGCGCCTTGAAGTAATTTCATTCTAGTTTTAATTAATACAGTCGAGTACTGTTTACCAAGCGTGAAGAGTAGCTCATCATAACAAATGCTTACATTCAATTTCTTCTACATGTCATAAATTTTCTTTTTCCCTCGACATCTACTTTGTGTTATCTGAGAGCTCTGCAATCTCCGTTGCTGAGAGATTGAATCCACAATATCAACCATTACATCGGAGAACTGGTTCCGGGAGTAGATTTTTATTTTTTGTCAGCTGCATTTGTCCACCTGATCATGAAAGCACGTCGTGATTTGCAAGCTGTAGTCAAAACGCCTCGTCCCTGTGGCTGCGGGTTCAATCTGTTAATTCAGAAATTAATAAACCTGTTTGACATTCTTCAACAGTAAGTTTAACTAAAAGTTCAGTCACCATTTTAACCGTATCTTTCTAAATTAGAGGTGCTTTCTAAATTTCTAATTCAACTAGGTGGCAAGGGCAAGGGAAAGGGAAAGAGCTTGTTTGTATCCCATAACACACGTAGGAACCAAGACTTTTCTGCGTCTGATCGAAAGTGGTGCCTGGGACTTCCAAAGGTTGCAGAACCTTGGAAAATCTGTCAATTATAAACTAAAGATCAAAATTATAGATAGATGGTGAAATCTAAAAAGGAAAAAGGAAAGGACATTGGACGACATGCAAATACTGGTTCTCCACAAACAAATTGCACTTAGCATTGTCCTTGCAATGGACGAATGGGATATATATCATGCCTTCAAAAAAAGAAAGAGATAACAAACGTATTAGTTTCAGATATATTATCTTACTTCATCGGCTCTTCTTACTAGATGATTCTTCAAAATCTGCAGTTAATATTTCCACAAAAATGAATACCACATACTCCTATGCACACATATAAACACGTGTTTTCCGTTATACAGGTAAAAGAAGGAGCTCAGACCACAGGGACTCGCTCTCTCTGTGCATGTACAAGACTGTGCTTTGATCACGTATATGAGCACTGGTAAAATAAAAACAGGGGAAGATTCTTGCAAATAATAATAATTACAAAATCCCAAAGAAACCCTAAACCTGCGTGAAGGAAACCAGAAAAACAAGATAGAATGAAATTTAAAGATCCAAACCTGGTTTTTGAGAGCTCATTGATGCTAGTTCGATTTTACTTTCATTACTTGGTAATTTCGAATCTAGCATTGCAAATTTTGTTAAAATTCGTCCAGATTGTAGTGTTATCTTCGAAGACTTTCTAATGCCTTGGAGGTTTGAAGACCAGCAAGAATGGTCACACGCATTGATTATTCAATTTTTTTGCAAAGTTCTACCCAGATTCTTGGAGCTTATCTTGGAATATTTAAAGCTGCTTGGAAGAGTCGAAGAATGTCCAGCAGGGTATTAGCTTTACCCATCCAGTTTATTCGGGTATATTGAAGCTTAGTGGCGGTTCCCAGCAACTTGACAAAGGCATTGGGAAGAATATATTTTGACCAGCAGCTTGTTTTAACTGCTTACAGATCAGCTGCCTCCTTCGTTAAAACTCCAGGCAGGCATTGTTGGATAAAATAATAATCTTTGCTGTCATAAGATCGTTCATGTTGGATCATCAAGAACTAATTAACCAAAAGCGGAAGCGTACCTGGATCAGACATGATTATCGCAATGAATAAGTCCTTCGGTTTCAGTCTTCCAGATCAACACGTTGTTCCTTAGTTTCTCTCTGAAGAT